TCAAGGTAGCAGTGCAGCTCTCCTCGGTCAGTGCAGCTGTGTCTTCTCAGCAGCTCGGCCTTTATGGAGGCCAGTGCGTCTATGTCTACAGTAGTGAATACCAGGTCGTCTACGCAGTCAAGGATGTTTAACGGAGTCTGGCCAGCACGAACGAAGATCGAAGGGTCTGCAGAGGACGGAAAGAACTGCAGGCCAGCTAGCGTAGCACGCAGAGTGTCGTGCCACTCACGGGTCACTTGTAGCAGGCCGTAGACTGGGCGTCGGAAGAGCCACAAGGTCCTAGGAGGGAAGGTACCGGTGAAGCCCTGAGGACGGCGCAGGTAGACCTACTCGTGTAGACTGGCCTGAAGAAAGCAATGGAGAAGTTGAGGGAGTGGAGCTTGTAGTCACGCTGTGCTGCTATGAGTAGCAGTGCCCGAAGAGTAGTCATCTTCGGGGTAGGGGCGAAGGTCTGAAAGAAGTCCACCCCCTCTAACTGACTGAAGCCTCTAGCCACGTAGCGCGCATTGAAGAGCCACCAACCATCGACTACTTTCACCCCAGGTGGGGGAACTGCGTCGACGTAGGTGCTGGTGGATCTCCAAGATGCCATCTCCTGCTCCATGGCGGCTATCCGGTGAGAGGCTCAAGGTTCTGAGGTCGCCTCATCGTAAGTGCGAGTTGCCGGGATGTCAAAGGCGTCTCGGTTACCCTCGGGGACTAGCAGCCTGGAACAGAGATGGGGAGCAGCCTCCGACATGAAAGCAAACTCGTGCTGCCTGTCCTCTAGGACGTCACTGCGAAGGGCAAGAGCACCCGCGACGGACGGAGGACCGACAGGTCAGAGACCAGAACGGTGGCATAGTCAAGGCGGCAGGTAGAGGCGAAGTCAGCGACAAGAGCGTCAAGACAGGAGACAGGAACAAACGGGTTGGTAACGAGGGAGGTAAGGACCCGAGGAACAACGGACGAGCACCACGAAGGTAATCAAAAAGAGGGGGAGGCGTGGCAGTGAGCGAAAATGGAGGAAGGGAAGGCAGAAGGGTAGGACGAGACGCGTGGGAACGAAGCGACATAGGGTGAGAATGTTGAACAGGAGAGACAGGTCGAGCACGAGAGGGACGGCGAGACCAGACATGAGACGGAGGATCCGGGTCAGGAGACAGGGCAGGAGTAACAGGAGGGGAACGAGGTGGGAAACAGGCCGGGGATAAGTCCGGCGGAGGAAACACAGGACCGTGGATAGGAAGGAGAGGAGACGGGGGGGAAGGCGCAGGCGAGCACTCAAGGGAGGGAAGGCCGAGCAGGCGAAGGGTGGACACCGGCGACGACTGCTGCTGCTGCTGCTCGACACCGACACTTGGACCACCAGCTACACCACGGCAGCCTCCGGAACACTCCACTCCAGCACCCCCTAAACGAGCACCCCCACAAGGAGAACCCTCTCCAACACCGGTGCCACCCCCGAGCCCGCCGGGACAAGCCACGACAGGACTAGCACCCGTCTCAATGCCAGCACCCCGAGAGTCCACAAACGGCTGCTGCTGCTGCGACGGCCGCGGCTGCTGCGGCGGCTGCTGCGGCGGCGACTGCTGCTGCGACGGCGGCGACTCCAACTGCAGAGGAGACACTTGGGCAGAGACAAGCAGCGAGAACTGCGCCTCGGAGCCACCAGAGTCAGCCGACTCCTCGACCGGGACAACCGACGGGAGGGGAGTGACGTGAGACACACCACACGGAGCAGGACGGAGAGGGAGGTGAGAAGGTGCTACCGAGGGAGTGGGAACCAGAAACAAGGGAGTGGAAACCAATAGACCTCGGTGGGGAAAGCGGTGGTAAAGAAGACAGACTCGTCGAAAGTGGCGTCACGAGAGTGAAAGAAGCGGTGAGACGGCGGGTGGTAAAAGTGCCAGTCAGACGAGTCAAGGGGGAAACCGAGGAAGACACAGGAGACAGTGCGGGTAGTGAGCTTGTCCGTGCCAGAGGCACGAACGTGAGCGAGGCAGCCCCAGACGTGGAACGCAGACGCGACACCAGGGAACCCGGTCAATAGAAGGGTCGGCGAGACCTGCGGCCGCTGGGAGCGCGGCCAGAGGTTAAGCTGGTGAGCGGTGTAGCGAACGGTGAACGGCCACAGAAAATGCGGTGCACCGACATGAATCATGGAGGTACGGGCCACCTCCATGACCAAACCGACGCATCGCTCAGCGACCCCATTCTACAGCGGGGAGTCCGGTAGGGTGTACGACGGGGTGATGCCCTCCGCACGACAGAACTGTACTATACACAGGTGCTACGCCTAAGCTAGAGAACACAGGGTAATAAGTTCCAGACACACTAGAAGCGTCGGCAAATAGAGAATGCAGGGCAGAACTAATCAGATCTATGTCTAAGTCAAAAGCAGGCACAGTCAGGGAGGTCCGGGGCCGGGCCGAAGCGGCGACAGAAGAGGTCGTTGAGGCGACGGAAGCAGCCGGTGGTCGGGTGCGGGCGGTGGCACACAGTGCCACGGAGGAGCCTGGTATTTGCAGCCCACAGCACCGAAGCAGCTGGTAGACGCCGAGGTGCGAGGACCGCCACTGCGGCCACCACCTCCAGGGGCTCCTGGCCACCCCGGCGGGAGGCGGGCCCACGGCTGCTGCTGCTGCTGCTGCTGCTGCATTTTCTGCGGGTGCTGCTGCTCTTGGACACCTGCCCCAGCCCCCTCGTCAGAACCACTATCTCCGCCGCCACCACCACCATCAGCACCACCACCACTCCCTCCCTTGGGGTCGCGACGGCCCTGATGCTGTCGCTGCTGCTGCGGGAAGGCCAGCGCTGCAGTCTCAGTGGCAGGAGTAATCGTAGCGACCGCGGCGGAAATTGCAGCGTACGTGCACTGGAAGAGAGCACAGCCCTGAAAGATAAGGACTGCCGCAACACCGCTCGATTGAGCGATACTGCACTGGCGATTCTCTATGTCAGAAAGGGCAGTGACAACAGTGATTAGGGCCAGGTCCCTAGGGTGCTGGCTAAGGAAGTGTTCGAGGGCAGTGGCAGGTGCATGGCATTAAGGTACAGGGTAGCGCAGAACAGCGGGGGGAAGGCAGTGCGCTGGGCGGTAGTGCTAACAGCGCGATAGCTAGACTCTAGTGCACGGAGGTGAGTAGCGAGGTCAGTGACAGTGGGGAAAGCGGAAAGATTCGGGAATAGCATGGGGAGGATCAAGCGGCCAGTGGAGGCAGAGGCGGGTGTGGAGTAGCGTGCAACTACGGCATCTAGGAAATCCTTGGCGTTCGCGACAGCAGTGAAGCGCGGACGCTCAGACAGGGGAAGCGCATGACTAATGGCGAGCTGCGCTACAGCATCGCGAGATTCCGAGACAGAGCGAGCGAGCGCAACATCAGCAAAGGCCTCACTCTCAGCAATCGTGGGGTCAGTAGGGAGGGGATCACGCCCGGAGGGGCGGGGAAGCAAGCCATCAACATGCATAGCCAGGGAGTGCCCATCCTGGCGCTGACCTGTCAGGTGACGGCGGAGATTGACAAGCCAGGCAGCGAAGTCAGTCGCGTGTCCCTCTGCGTCCAGACGAAGCACAGCATCCACTATTGTGCAACCTCCGCAGCACAGCGTCACGGCGGCACGGCGTCACGGAGGCACAGTGGCACGATGACACAGCGGCACGGCGACACAGTGTCACAGCGACACAGCGGCAAGTTTTCCCGGCGAGAAGACCGGGCGGAAGGCCGAGGAGGGGCCCGAGGGGCGCAGGGCCCGGGGCACGCAGAGCCAGTAGGGCGCAAAGGGCCGAGAGAGCGCTGGGGTCAACGAGGCGCTAGGTGGTTGGCGAGGTGCTAAGGGCAGGAGAGGTGTGACGGGAGGGGCCGGCGGGCATGGGAGGGGCGAGCGAGCGTGTAAGGGGCCGGCGCGCGCGAAGGGCCGGTGAGCGAGTGAGGGGCCGGTGGGTACGGGAGGGGCCGGCGGGAGTGTTAGGGGCCGGCGCGCACGAAGGGCCGGCGAGCGCGTGAGGGGCCGGCGGGCGCGCGAAGGGCCGACGGGCGCGTGAGAGCCGTCGAGCGCAAAGCGCCGGCGAGCGCGAAGGGCCGGCGAGGCGCGCGGTGGGCCGACGGGGCGCTTAAGGGGCGGTGGGTAGCGAGGGGCCGGCGAGGTGCGCGAGGGGCCGGCTGAGCGCTAGAGGCCAGTGGGTACGCTAGGGGCGGGCTAGGCGCGTGTGGCCGGCTAGGCGCGAGGGGCCGGCTGGGTACGTGAGAGGCCGGCACAGCGCTGAAGGGGCAGCTGGCGCGCGAGGGGCCGGCGGGTATGCAAGGGGCGGCGGGGACGCTAGGGGCCTGCGGGCACGCTAGGGGCCGGCGGGGCGGTAGGCTAGGGCTAGGGGCGGAAGCGGTTGGGCTGACCTAACCTACTCTGATACCATGTTAGATTACAAGAATGACTAGAAACAAGAGAGAACAATGGAGATATATGGTTGGAGTTGTACCCTCTTAGAACATACACCTATCTAGCCTATAACTTCTACATACTAACATATGTATAAGTTGACACATTGGACTTCTTTCTTATCGACTGTCGGTCAACGGTCAACGACCATTGCACTTCGTGCTCCGCGTCATAGGCTTGGACTCGAAAAGGGTTCGGACTCGAGTGTCACTTTCAGGAATGTAACAAATTACTTATTGTAATAATTCATGCCCTCAAATTATATGGCAATGACCATATTTCCTTGTACTCAGCTGTTATCATGTTGCAATTTCACCCCGAAAAATTTGATTATAATTCTTCCTCGGTCTTGAGAAGGGTGAAGTACAATCACAAAGCCCTGATCATCACAAAACCAATTCTGATGATCTTGTATAACATTTTCCTTCGTGAAATGAATTGTTGTTCAAGTTATAGTAGACATGATTGTGCTCCTAAAGAGGAAACTATGAGCTGTTCCTGGAAGCAGGATTCGTCGCACTCGGCATTGCCATCTAGTTCTAGTCGCTGTCAGCCGTATGCAGTCACATCAATGGGACTCGAAAGTATTGAGGTATGGTGTCGTCTACGCAGCGCGGGTCATCTCTTGAAGGACAGGACGTTTGTTGGCTGATTTATCCCCCTCCGTTTATCGATTCATGGCGCAGTTAAGAGGGTCTTGGTGTGAAGTCTCAAAGTTCGGTATCTGAAAATGAGCAAATCTTCCGGACCCGTTGCTGCGGTAGCACCCACAAGCGAAATCGATATCGTTCTCGCGACCAACGGAGAGAGTGGCGATTTTTTCCAGTCGTGGTACGAGGTCTTGAGGCCCTACCACATCATCGTGGTTCAGACAGGCCCAGAGGCATCTGCAAAGCTGAGAGCACCACCTGGACTTGACGTCGAATTGTTTACAAGGAGCGATGTCAAGCGAATGCTTGGGAACCGAGCTGCCTGCATTTCGTCAAAAGATAGGTGAGCTCATTTTTTGTTCTACCAAGTTGCTTATTATCTATTTCGTGAGCACTGAAACCCGTTCTCTCTCCCTCGCTTGGAACAGTGCATGCCGCTGCTTTGGATGGCTTGTCTCGAAAAAAAGATTTATTTACACGCTGGCGGACGACTGCTACCGCGTGAAAGGCTTTCCAGCTCCAGGGTTGGAGCTTGATCCCGTGCTGAAGCACCTTCAGAACTTGCAAAGGCCAGCAACACCACTTCACTTTAACACCCTCTATGACCCGTTCGAGGACTCCACGGATTTTGTTCGTGGATATCCTTTCAGGTACGTGTACGATTTGAAGTCTTTCACTCGATGCTCTCAATGAGTCTTACATATGTACGACTGCTTTGCAGCCTGAGGGAGGGCGTCAGAACTGTGATATCTCATGGCCTCTGGCTCAATAACCCTGACTACGACGCGCCAACTCAGCTTGTCAAGCCTAACGAGCGTAATATTCGTTATGTAGATTGTGTTCAAACGATTCCCAAGGTAATACACCTGATTTCACCTTCTGATGTGCGTATTCTTCAGAATGTACACGGATGATCACCTATGTGGCGGATTGTGCAGGGTGCTCTGTTTCCAATGTCAGGATTTAACATTGCATTCGACCGGGAACTGATTGGGCCTGCAATGTACTTTCCTCCAATTGGTGAAGGACAACCATTTGGCTTTCATGATGATATGTGGGCTGGATGGTGCTCCAAGGTACGTGGTAACTGCGATAGAATGGTGCTGTTGTTTGTTATGCCTTAACATTATCCTACCATATGCCATTTGCAGGTCATATGTGACCATTTACGATACGGTGTGAAGTCCGGGCTTCCCTATGTTTGGAGGCAGAAATCTGCAAATGCCTTTGCCAGCTTAAGGTACAGCAGTCCAAATGTGGAAATCTATTGATACTTGTGTGTGAAGCATTGGTGTCCTGACTTTTTCTGTTCTTACAGGAAGGAATACAAGGGTATTTTTTGGCAAGAGGAGATTGTACCATTCTTCCAGTCCATGCAGTTACCTGCTGAAGCTGTAACGGTAGAGGCATGCTACTTGGATATCGCCAAGCAAGTGAGTAACGCTTTTTAGGTAAACAGTGGTTTGTACAGTAGCCCGAGTGATGCTTCTCTGATTAGAAGCCATCGTGCTGTGTTGCAGGTCAAAGAAAAGCTGGGCAAAGCTGATTCATCCCTGAATAAGCTGGCAGAGGCCATGGCGACTTGGATAGATGCATGGAAGACCATAAATTCATGCTCGACGCCCCCTCCTGAAATTGACCACTGAAGGCTTGCTGGAGTTAGTGGAGCCACTCGTGATTATGTGCACCATCTCTGTTCATGGTGTATCGTTGGTGTAGTCCTTTTCTTGCCTAAAACATGACTGGTGGGACATGACCTGAAGATACGCTGTCTCGTGGTAGACTACTGGTGACATTGGGATCAGAATGCCAATTTTTTTGCAAGTGGTGGGAACGGGATCTTGACAAAAGAGCTTTGCGCAAATCTTAAGTCTCCTGAGAGTCCTGAGTGAAACTACGGTATCGGTAAAAAGAGTTTGTTGGTTGAAGCATCGCAGGAGCAGGCCTGTCGTTATCAGGGTATTTTGCCCTGATTCCCTGATTTCACAGGGTAGTTTTTTGTCCAACCCTTAATTTTCAGGGTTGGGTTTTTTTTAACCCTAACCTCTTCAGGGTTGTATGTCTGTGAACACTTAGAATTTCAGGGTTTGCATTATCCCAAAACTGAGTTTTCAGGGAGTAACGTGTACGAACCCTGAATGCGACATCCATGCGGACCCTGAGTTTCGCCGAAATGGCCCCCTTACGCGTGACGGGTCCCAGTCCATTGAATACGCCCAGCATACGTCACGTGGAGAATCTGCACACATTCCCGCCGTGTACACGTTGTATGTTGCCATCGCAGCAACATTTCCAACCGTTAAATGTGGGATGGTGCACTCTGTCTTGCCCCAGCCTGGCATTCGTGACTCAGCACGCAGCAGACGAGGACAGAATATGCTGAGCGCTGCCTCTGTATGACATCACAGCGCCAATCATCCCTATGCAGACGATGCCAGCGCAGGTGCGTCCCCCCGTTGACGGTATCGCCATGGCGATGCGGGATCCTGGATGGGTTATGCACCGTCCATGAAAATCGAAATCTGGGGTTTCTTGGTCCCCTTCCCATCTTCTTCACGAGCTTCTCCTCCAACCCAGTTTCCTCCCTTTCTTCACATCGCAGATACGAGATGCTCTACTCTTCTTTCTCGTCCACTTTCTCTTCCCATCTTCTTCACGAGCTTCTCCTCCAACCCAGTTTCCTCCCTTTCTTCACATCGCAGATACGAGATGCTCTACTCTTCTTTCTCGTCCACTTTCGTCGCGACGATTTCTCGTTTCGATCATATCCGCCGCTACTAGCCATGGCGGATGTGGGAGAGTCTGATGAGTCTCCCGCTGCCGAGGATGGTTGTGGACCAAGTAGGGACCCCCCCGTGGAGGTCCGTAGATCCGCTCTAGACATCTTGCGGTCTCCCACCGCGGTCGTTTCACCATCACAACCCGTATCTACTCCCGCTCCCTATGTACCTCCGCCCGCTGTCGCTTCATCTAGCCGTGGCCCTTGGGTTCCAGACTGCGAGACAGCCACGACCGTGCGTTACATGGTCGAGTGTGCTTCCACGATTTCATCTGGGAAAAAAGCACGCATCGGGAAGTACACCCAGAGCACGATAGTCCTCGGCGGGAAGCTACGTCGACCGTCGCCGCCTCGCACGTCGCCTGAACCTCAGGCCCCTGCTATTCCAGAACCCGAGCCACCGAAGCTCTCGAAGAAAGAGCTCATCGAGCAGAAGTATCTCATGGCTGAGCACAAGTATAAGACCTGCTGGCTTCCATTTTTCCCTTGGCTTCTGCTAACGAAAACGAAAGACGGTTACCCTGCGTTGAAGTGCAGTGTGTGCAAGGCTTTCGGCAAAGAGACAACACCGTACTCCAACAGCCACAACGGGGCACGTGACCTGCAGACGCAAGCGATGCGGTTCCACGAACACACAACAGCCCACGAAGTAGCAGTCAAGCATCAGATGGAGATCGCCGAAGACATCGCCAGCACCCAGAGGTGCATGGAGAATTACGCGCGGAGTGACATCGAGGGGAAACGCGTCATGAGGCTCCTACGCTGCGTCGACTTCCTGTGCAAGTGTGATGCACCCATCAGCATGTACCCGAGGCTACTCTGCTTCATGGCCGAGCAGGAGACCCCAGACATTCCGCTGCAGTCTTACTGAGTCTACCTGATACGGTAATGCACTGATTCCAAGTACAGCAAATCCTTTTCTTTTTAAATAGGTCTAACAAACACCCTGTTGCTACTTCTGCTAATACAGGTATGGCTTCTGTCAGCTCGTCAGCAGCTTGGCATCCTACCTGCAGCGCTGACAAATGCAACACATTCTCGCCTCACCCTACCTCGGCATCAGCTGCGACGAGAGCACTGACCGTACTCGCGGTAAACATCTGATTGTTTATCTAACCTTCTTGCGGGCGCATCATGTTGTCACAGAGTTTTTTGCACTCTTGACCGTCGAAAAGTGCGACGCCGCGTCTCTCCTCGCCGTTCTTCTGGCTCACTTGCGAGCAACTGGCATCGACCTCTCCCGAATCACCGGCATGAGCACCGACGGCACCTCTGTCATGGTCGGCCGAGACAACAGTCTCGTCGCCCGACTTCGCGAGCACATCCCCCATCTCGTCTCTTCGCACTGCATCGTGCACAGGTTTAACCGCTTGTCTTTTTAGTCGCTTAGGTTTCCTATAAGTGCTTGACTAAAATTCCTTTGTGTGCACCATGCAGGGAAGCCTTGGCGGTGAAGGACGCTGCAACTGCTTCTCCAGACTTCGACATGGTCGACCTTGTGATTCGGACTCTGGCCGATCTTCTGGGACGTTCTTGTGTCTGGAGTCAACCCTTCAAGTACCTGCAGCGGGCAATACACAACACCAACCTTGAAGTGCAAGGAATTCACACCGTGCGCTGGCTTTCAAGGGGTGAGGCTGCGCGGCGCCTCTGTAAGGTCCTTGGCGCCGCTATCATTCTCTTTCATGAGTACGGGCATGAGCTGTATGAAGTCGTCATCAATTACAAGTTCCAGTTCTGTCTTCTTTTCCTGGCGGACGTGCTCGGAGTGATGAATGAGCTCAACCTCAAATTTCAGAAGAGGGAGGTGACCTTCTTCCACTGTGCATGTTGCACTTTTTGAACCATGCACGCACGTTTGGAATCACCCTCTCACTCCACTCCCTTGTCTGTCACTTCCACCAGGTCGATGTCACCGAAGTGACGAAGGACATCGACGAGGTGACAGGGGACCTCCGCCACCGCTACCTGGAGTGCGGAGAGGTGTTCGGTGGGGGGGTCGAAGGCACGTGGCTGTTCGAAGGACGTCTGTTGCATGTTTTCTTGCCGGTTCTTAACTTCCCCTTGGAAGTTGTTGTTTATCGCTTGTTGACTAGTTGCACTAATGCACTAGTCTTGTTCTTTCCCCCAACCCTTTTGGCAGGCGCTGGCCCAACATTATGCGCTTGTGGCAGGCGTGCGCTGTCCTGCCGCTTAGCACAGTGGAGTGTGAACGAGGCTTCTCGCGGCAGAACGTCATCAAGTCATGGGTGCGGGGCTCGTTGTGCAATTCGCGCCTCAGCGAGCTGATGGTCATTTCCCTGCTGCAGTATGAGATTGACTGGGACGAGAAGCTGAGGCGCCCTGCTAAGTCTGTTCTGTTTGCCTCAGCGGAGAGGAAGCGCAAGGCCAAGGCGATAGAGGGGGCACAAGAGAGGGTGGAGGAGGAGGCAGTCCCCGACTACATGGGGGATTGGGCAGAGGATGAGGGAGAGGAGGGGGTAGAGGGGGGAGAGGCTCCTCCTGAAGTGGAAGACAACCCGTTTCTGTTCGATGACGAGGCAGAGGACGAAGTGAACATGGATGGCCCAGAATTTTAGTTAAGTGTAGCAAGTGGCGTGGAATCTTGTGGTGTCTAGACTAGATAGACAACTTAATTGAATTTGTAGACTGGCGTGGTGGTAGTAGACTCTGGCTAGTAACTAGCTGTACAATCCTAACGTTCTTTTAAACGATTTTTAGCAAGTGCAATGCAACCCTGTTTGTGGCCTGCCAACCATGGAAGTTTAAGAGTTGCATGTTCCAGAACACTGAGAAATCGGGGAAGCCAAAATTTCAACACAAGGCCCTCAGAGTATTTTTTTTTTCCCATTCGACAGCTCAGGGTGCTTTTTTTTGAAACGTCAGCCCTGCGCAGGAGCTTTCCCCTGAGGACAGTCACATACCGTTTTCCCCCGGAAAAAAAACCCGCTGGAATTAATCACCCATGGGTGGTTTGGGCGGACCTATCAGAAAGAATAATTGAACTAGAATGTGTGAGTACAAGGGTATATAGACTAGGGTGTTGTACCCTCTAAGGCACAATCCAGTATAGTCTACAGTAACGACCTAAGTTACATGTGACACACCCCCTAGACTATATAGGGGCAGTGACTAACAGGAAAAGAAGCAGCTCAGGGCGGCACTAATAGTCCAGCCTCTGAGACAAGGGTCTAAAGACCAGTCAAAGGAGTACAGACAAGACAAGAGCAAGACCAGGGCGGCACTACTAGTCCAGCCACTAGGAGAGGCCACAAGGCTAGTCAGGGCAAAAAATATATATAAAGGACAATACAAAGTCAAGGCCCTAGCAAGTGAGAGGCTACAGGAACGAGACCTAACTGTACACAGTGCCGCTGATGATCTTTAGGCGCAAGCGCCTTCGTAAAGACATCAGCTGTGTTGGCACCAGAGGCCAAGTGTACTACGCGCGCTTGGCGGCGCTGCTGGAGCTCACGCAGGAGGAAGTACCGCAGCTGGATGTGCTTCGCTCTGCCCTCGAGTCGAGGCTCCTGACACACGAGGATCATGGCCCTGTTGTCAGCGTACAGGACTGGGGCAGAGCTAAGCCGCTCACCTAAGTCAGTGAGCAAGAAGGTCAGCCAGCGGAGCTCCTGTGCCGCCATGGCACCAGCGTAGATCTCGGCCTCACAGCTGGACTGGGCAACAGACGAGGAGTGGGTAGCTCTCCATGAGACGGCACCTGAGCAAAGGCTGAAGCAGTAGCCCTGCGAGGACCTGAGGGTCTCGGCGTCGTCTGCCCAAGAAGCGTCTGTGTGTCCAGTAAGGACCACTGGCCTGCGTCCTCCTAGCACTAACCCCATGTCCGATGTACTTGCAAGATAACGCAAAACCCTCTTAGCGGCAGACCAGTGCTGAGGTCGGTGTCTGCCTGTAGTAACAAAGCGAGCCAGGATGCTGAGAGGGTATGCGAGATCAGGGCGAGTGTAAGTCATCAGGAACATGAGGCAACCCAACAGCTCTGCGTAAGGACCACTGGGCTCTGCTGACTCCTCAGGAATTGGAGCGGAGAGCCTGTGGTCTAGAGGCAGAATAGTGGGCTGTACGGAGGAGAACTGAAGGCCGAACCTCTGAAGGACCTGGCGCACCAAGTGTGACTGAGTCAAAGTGATGGTGCGTGCTGCTCTGTCCCTGGAGATTTGCAAGCCAAGGTAGTGGCGTAGTTCTCCAAGGTCAGCGCAAGTGTGTCTCTTCAGCAGCTCTGCCTTTACGGAGGCCAGTGCGTCCCTGTTTGCTGTGGCGAAGACCAGGTTGTCTACGTAAACAAGGATGTAGAACGGGGTCTGGCCAGCAGGAACGAAGAGTGAGGGGTCTGCAGAGGACGGAAAGAACTGCAAGTCAGCAAGCGTAGCACGCAGTGTGCCGTGCCACTCACGGGGAGCCTGCCGCAAGCCGTAGATGGGGCGCTGCAGGAGCCAGTGGGTCCCAGGAGGGAAGGTACCAGTGAGGCCCTGAGGGCGGCGTAGGTAGACCTGCTCGTGTAGACTGCCCTGAAGAAACGCAGTGGAGAAGTCGAGGGAGTAAAGCTCGTAGTCACACTGAGCTGCTACCTGTAGCAGCACCCGAAGAGGAGTCATCTTCGGGGTCGGAGCGAAGGTCTGGAAGAAGTCCACCCCCTCACGCTGACTGAAACCTCTAGCCACGTAGCGCGCCTTGAACACAGGCGGCTCTCCAGGAGGGCGCTTCACCTTGAAGAGCCAGCGGCCATCAACTACGTTCACCCCAGGTAGGGGAACTGCGTCTACGTAGGTGCCGGTGGATCTCCAAGATGCCATCTCCTGCTCCATGGCAGCTATCCACTAAGAGGCCCAGGGTCCCGAGACCGCCTCAGCGTAAGTGCGAGGGGTCAGGATGTCGAAAGCGTCGGGGTCACCCTCAGGGACTAGAAGCATAGAGCAGAGATGGGGAGCAGCCTCGGACAGGAAAGCAAGCTCGTACTGGCGGTCCTCCAGGACGTCACTGCCGAGGGCCGGAGCACCCCCGACAAACGAGGGACAGGCAGGGTCAGAGACCAAAGCGGTGGCGTTGTCAAGGCGGCGGGTAGAGATGAAGTCAGCGACCGCAGCGACAAGGGCATCAAGGCTCGAAACGACGGGTCGGTAACGAGAGAGGCAAGGACCCGAGGAACAAGAGGACGAGCGGGGTGACAGGAGAAGCGGAAGACGAGACGCGTGGGAACGAAGCAACATAGGGTGAGAGTGCAAGACAGGGGAGACAGGTCGAGCACGGGAGGGACGGCAAGACCAGACATGAGACGGAGGAGTCGGGTCAGGGGACAGAGGAGGGGACACAAGAGGGGAAACGGGCCGGAGACGAGTCCGGAGGAGGGAACACAGGGCCGTAGACAGGAGGAGGAGGAGGTATAGGCACGGGGTCAAGGGACGGAAGGCCGAGCAGGCGAAGAGCGGACATCGGCGGGGACTGCTGCGGCAACGGTGTGACACCGACGCCGGGACCGCAAGCTGCCTGGCGGCTACCTCCCGAACACTCCACGCCAGCACCCCCAGAAGGAACACCCCCAGAGCTCAGAACCCCTCAAGCACCGGTACAACCCCCAGGCCCGCCGGGGCAAGCCACGATAGGAGTTCCAGGACTAGTACCCACCCCAACTCCAGGACCACCAGAGGCAACGAACTGCTGCGGAGACGGTTGCGGCAGCGGCGGCTGCAACGACGGCTGCAGCGGCGGCGGCAGCGATGACGACGGCTGCGACTGCGATGGCGACGGCGGCTGCGGAGGCGGCGGAAGAGGAGACACCTGAGAAGGGGCAAGCGGCGAGGATTGCGCCGCAGGACCACCAGAGTCAGCAGACTCCTCAACCGGGACAACCGACGGGAGAGGGGGGACGTTGGATACACCAGAGGGGGCAAGACGGGGAGGGGGAAGAGGGGGGGCAGGGACTACCAAGAAGGAGTGACTAGGAACAGGGGGGGAGGAAGAGGGGGACCGCGGTGGGGGAAGCGACGGTAGAAGGAGACGGACTCGTCAAAGGTGATGTCGCGAGAGTGAAAGAACCGGTGAGACGCCGGGTGGTAGAAGTGGGAGTCGGACGCGTCAAGGGGGAAACCGAGGAAGACACATGGAAGGGTGCGGGCAGTGAGCTTGTCCGTGCCAGAGGCACGAACGTGAGATAGGCAGCCCCAGACATGGAACACAGACGCGTCACCAGGTGACCCAGACCAGAGGAGGGTCGACGAAACCTGAGGCTGCTGGGGGTGAGGCCATAGGTTAAGCTGGTAAGCGGCGTAGCGAACGGCGAACGGCCACAGAAAATGGGGTGCACCGGCATGGATCATGGAGGTGCGAGCCACCTCCATGACCAAACCGATGCGTCGCTCAGCGACCCCATTATGCTGCGGGAAGTCCGGCAAGGTGAACGTCTGGGTGATGCCCTCCGCACGACAGAAACGACCAAGGACACCAGAGGCAAACTCGCCACCACGGTCGGAGTGGAGACGCAAGACAAGGAGACCGCGGTGGACACACGCAGAGACAAGCCACGGGATAAGAACGGCAGGCACATTGGCCTTCCGCTCCAGGGGGAAAACAGTGGTGTAGCGCATGTAGTCGTCGACAAGCACTAGGAAGTAGTACTCGCGACGCGGCCCATGGACGGGGGCGGGGCCCCAGACGTCCATGTGCAGAGTCTGTAGCGGTGCTGCAGTAGGCGAAAACGAGGAGGAGTGAGGGGCACGGCGAAGCTGGCCCTCGACACAGGGCGTGCACGGTGGGGCTGGGGAGGAGGGAAACTCGGGGAACAACCCGGGGAGGCCTAGGACGAGATTGTGCTGTGACATGGGACGCAGACGCGGGAGCGCAGGGTGACCTAGGCGGTGGTGCCAGAGAAGAGTCGGGTGAGTGAGAGACCAACAGGAGCAGGCAGCAGCAACCGGGGGAGACGCAGTCACCTGAGGGGGGGTCCCAGCCGGGGGGGTCACCGTGTCCAGTGTGAAAAGACCGGACACCGGGTCCCGGGGGAACGTGGACAGGGGAGCACCAGTGGCGGCCTCGGTTCAGACAGCGTACTGCTCGTGTCGAGGGAACGTGGACAGGGGGGCACCAGTGGCGGCCTCGGTACAGACAGCGTACTGCTCGTGTCCAGCGTACTGCTGGTGACGCCAAGGTCCTGAAGGCAGCCGACACCAACTAGGGTCCTAGAGAACGAGGGGATGTGCAATCCTGTGAGCGAGCCCGAAGGAACCGCCGGGCAGGGGAGGGTGGTGGAACTGCGGGCGACTACTGGGCCGGAGGAGGGGTCAGCAAGAGAGACTGCGGCAGGGACAGGAAGCGGTGTCAACGTGGTGGAGTCGCGGAAGAAGCACCGGGAAACGCCCGAGTTGAGGGTGAATAAGAGCACGCTAGTGGCGGCCGGAGGCGAAGCAGCGACGGAAGCACCAAGGCTAAACAAAGCAGGGGATCCTACGCCTGACGCAGCAGGGGAGTCTAAGCAAGGCACACCTACAGTAGGCAACAAGGGGTAATAAGATGGAAGCACACTGGAGTCATCAGCATACATCACATGCTGAGCAATAACAATCTCATCTATATCCAGATAAAAAATCTGAACCCTACGACGAAGCAAACTGTGCCAGTCTGAGAGCTCGGGCGACGGGCCGAAACGCTGACGAAACAGGTCGTCCATGCGACGGAAACAGCGGACTGAGGTGTGACCGATCTTACCGCAAATGAAGCCACCGCGAGGACCGGTCTGGAGCAGGTACTGACAGCGCATATCACCCAAACCACCACCCAGCAGCCCACCACGTGCACCACCACCACGTCCAGCGCTACCACCAGCGCCAGGCCACCCGGGCAGGAGACCACTCGCCCGTCTCTGCTGCGGCTACAACGTCTGCTGCGACTGCTGCGGCTGCTGCGGCTCCTGTGGCTTCTGCGGCTGCTGTAGCTGACGCGAGTCCGGCTGCAATGCCGACGGCTGCTGAGACGGCTACTCGGCTGCACCTGGCAGGGTCCCCTCGTCCGCACCACCACCAGGAGACCCAGCTCCACCACCACCTACAGCTGCACCCCCACCCCTGCCGCCACGCCCAGCCTTGGGGCGGCGACCCTTCCCCGGACGGACCTGTGCTGCAGCTACAGTCTCAGCCACAGCAACAGAACTGTCAGAGAAGGTGCACTGAGCGGGGGGGCAACCCTGAAAGATAGGGACCGGCTGTGAGAGTACGACCCCGTTACACCACTTGGCCTTTTCTTATTTTCTTCCTTTTTCTTTTCTCTTTTATTCCATCTCATTTGGTTTCCGCTTCTTCCTTTTCCATTAACCTTTGGTTTATCCTGCTATTATAATTATATCACCGACCAGGCTTGGGATGTACTGGTGCACTCTATCTAGCGTCATCCTGCTGTAATCCCTTAAAGCCAATAGCCTCGCGTGGCTATACGCTGGGTGATTCTATCTTCTAGAAGGGTCGATTCCCTTAGGATAAGATAAACCTGGTTACCTGATGTACTCTGGAAGTATAAAAGCGCCTTGTACTGATCGATAGTGCAATCTTTCCTCGACACATTCGATCCTGTGACACTTGGTAATCAGAGCCTTTCTCACTCGGCCGCGCTAAACAAAGCAGCAGCAGCGGGAAAACCTGCCTCGAAAAACCGCCGGGGGCGACCAATTCGACGCCGATTCTGGTAAGCACCAGCTCCTCGATTTTCGAATTACCCCCTCCGTGCGTGTTTTGAACAGGATGGCAACCTTCGACAACGCCGAGGTTACCCAGCAGCTCTTCGCACGCATCGCAGCCCTTCAGGAGGAAATGCGAGCGGATCGCGAAGCGTGGCAAAACGAGTTCGAGCGAGTAACTCGACTCGCCGGAGCGCAGCACGAGACGACAACGGCAACGACGCAGCAGTCGCAGCAGTTTCTCGAGGCTCCGAAACTGCGCCCACCTGAGCCGTTCGATCCGAGCGATCGAAACTCCAACGCCCGCAGATGGATCGCCGGGATGGAGATCTACTTCGCAGCCATCGGATGGAGCTCGCCAGTCTGGGACGGTCAACGTGTACGACTCGCGGCGACACTGATGCGAGGGCCGGCACTCGAGTGGATTGGCGGCAACAGTACCTTCATCCACGGTGAAGCCACGTGGCAGCAGTTCCGCGCCGACCTGCTGAAACGCTTCGAGCCGATAAATTCCAGTTTCCTTGCCCAGGAAAAAATTCATCGACACCGACAGTTCGGGAGTGTAGCGCAGTACACGCAGCAGATGGAGGAATTTTATAACCGCATTCCCGACCTGACCAAAGGGGAAAAAGTACAATCGTACCTCGCGGCTGAAGACCGAAGTCAAACGCCAGGTAGCAGCGTCAAACTACGCGAGCTACAGTGACGTCGTTTCGGCAGCGGAGCGCTTCGACATGGTCAACGCCGGAACATGACGGACGCACGTCGGCAGTACGCGACAGGGCGACCGCTCGGCTCACCCCACGTTCGCCGACCCGATGGAAGTCGACAGATTCGAGGGGCGGCCACGTCCGAAAAACACCAATTACACGTGTGATTTTTGCGGGGTGCCGGGTCATCGAATCTTCGACTGCAGCAAAATGAAAGCCGCACACGCAGAGTATCGGGCACGCAACAGTGGCGGAATTCCTTCAGCCAATTAGAAGCCAAAAAACCAGAGTCGCTAGTGATTGCAGATCTAGATGGCGAAAATAAAAAGATCCGAAAGCGGCCGCAGGATTCCGGGAAAATCAACTTCAACGAAGCTGATTCGACGCGAGGAGGAAATGATGGGGGAAAATCTCCACCCCACGACCAGTCCTTGCCAGGGAAAATCGCCGAGGAAAAATACGACTCCGCGAAAAAAGACTCTGCCGAGACAGTGAAACTCCTCGAAGACCTAAGAAATTATAAGAATTTGTTAAAGTTATCTTATAATGATGCTTTAATGAAAACTTATGATGTTCGAGGGGCTAAAGCCTTGGAGAAAATTCAGGAAGGACTCCAAAAGAAGCAGACAGCTGTGGAGATTATACCGGTACCGGACAACTTGGGGAAAAAATTAAGGAGTGTGGAAAGAAGTCGACCTTTCCACGGAGTCAACGTCCTCTCCCGACACCAGCCCACAACGACTAACCGTTCCCCAGGGAAGACGTCGGTGGAGCTGAAGCAGCTTAAGAGGAAGCTGTGGGTCTACAAGAAGCTGCACAAACCCTGAATTCCTTCTCCTACGGATGCATCCAGTTCTTCGGCATCAGTGACGCGCACAGTCATCAAAGAAACTCCGGGCCCTGGAGAAGAGCCGTTCTCCAAGCAGCCTCGGCCAGCTGCCAGCTCAGGAGTAGACAGCAATACAAAGGTGTGTACGGAATATTGGGATGTACCCTATGACCCAATCAATGAAACTATCTTTGGGTACTCCGAGCAACGACTGCCCCTCGTGCTCGAGGTCATCTGCAAAGGACGACGCCTCCAAGAACTCGTGGACAGCGGAGCATCGCACATCGTCTGCGACAAAGCAGCAATCGACCGACTTCGGGAAGAGTACAAGCCTTCAGGATTCTCTGCAACGATGGTGGACGGCAGCAAGCTACCAGTACACGGCGAAGCAGTGCTACACCTACAAATTGGACCACTGCGCTGGAGACCTGCACTTCCCATCACCAACATCAAAGGGCTTGACTTGATCTTCGGGCGAGACTTCCTAAAAAGATTCAACCCCGAGATCAACTGGGTGAACCGCACCGCAAGCATCTACAACAATGGACGGAGAGTACAGCTACCAAACTGGGACGATACAGGAGATATCCCAGTGGAGACACTCGCTCGATTCGAGAAGGACGTGAAGCGAACCGACACAGGGTTCCTGGCAATAGCAACAGAGGCAGAGAACGACAGGGAGAGAACCTCGGAACCTCCAGGAAAGATCAAGGAATTATTGAAGGAGTTCCAAGATATTCTTCCGGACGATCTTCCAAATGAGCTACCGCCATACCGAACGCATCAACACGAGATCTTGGAGGAACCGGGTTCGAAGCAGACCTTCCGAGCACCATATCGGCTCAGCCCTACGGAGCTGACCGACATGAAAAAACAGATCGAGTATCTCCTAGCCAAAGGACTCATCCGACCATCCACTTCGCCTTACGGTGCTCCAGTACTCTTCACACCGAAACCGGACGAAAGCCTGCGCATGTGCATCGACTACCGAGCTCTTAACAAGCAGACCATCAAGAATAAATATCCGATACCGCGAATCGATGACCTGCTTGACCAGCTTCGGGGAGCTACGGTATTTTCCAAACTGGATCTGCGGTCCGGATACTGGCAGATACGCATGGCGGACAACTCTATCCACAAAACTGCTTTCCGAACTCGGTATGGATCGTACGAGTATTTGTTAATGCCGTTCGGACTCACCAACGCACCGGCAACGTTCCAAGCCGAAATGAACCACATTCTACGACCACTTTTGGACGAGTGCGTGGTGGTGTACCTGGACGACATACTCATCTACTCGCGCGACATGAAGCAGCACGTCGAACACCTGCGACGCGTCTTCGAAATTCTTCGACGAGAACGGTTCTACGTCAAACTGTCCAAGAGCGAATTCGCCCTTGAAAAGGTCCTGTTCCTAGGACACATGGTGAGCGCTCAAGGAGTTCACGTCGACCCCAAGAAAATCGAAGCCGTACGTACGTGGAAGACACCCAAGAACGTGAAGGAGTTGCAGCAGTTCCTAGGCTTCGCTAATTACTACAACAGGTTCGTGCCACAGTATGCGAAAATCGCAGCACCACTCACGAATCTGCTGAAGAAGAACACGCCCTACAAATGGGAGCTGAAGCACCAGGAAGCCGTGGAGCAGCTGAAGCAAGCACTTACGTCCGCACCGGTACTCATTTTGCCAGATCCCGAACGCGACTACGTCATCGAAGCTGACGCCAGTGACCAAGCAGTGGGAGCGGTCTTGATGCAAGATCAAGGGAATGGACTGCAACCAATCGCTTACCTAAGTAAGAAACTACACGGGGCAGAACTCAACTACCCGATACACGACAAGGAGGCCCTGGCAAGTTGAGGGGATGAATCCACTACTCAAGGGACTCTTCGCACACGGGTACACTATCGACTCGGAAATTCTCTTGGCAGAAAAGCGACATCTGCTACAGTGGGACAGTGACATCGCGTACCGGAAAGGATCAAGGAAAATCTGGGTACCCAATTACCCTCCTTTGCGCCAGCTACTACTCGAAGAATACCACGACGTCCTCTACGCCGGACACTTCAGTAGCAACAAAACGCTCACCGGTATCGCCAAACACTACTTACTGCCCCCACTTAGCAGAAGATGTCCAGAAATTTGTCACCTCGTGTGATACATGTCAGCGGATGAAGAGTACCAAGCAGAAAAAGGCGGGAGTACTGCAGCCTCTTCCTGTCCCAGAACAACCATGGCAAGTGGTTAGCCTGGACTTCATCACCGGGTTACCGCCTACCTCGCGCGGTCAAGACGTCATCCTTGTCGTCATTGACAAATTTTCCAAAATGGGACACTTCATCTCGACACACACGACAACTCGCACCGAAGAAACAGCACAACTCTTCGTTCGATACATCATCTCACAGCATGGCATTCCAACCACACTCATCTCCGACCGAGACCCTAAGTTCACCAGCAAGTTCTGGAAGGAACTTATGAATCTCCTCGGGACCAAACTTGCCATGTCATCTGCTTACCATCCGCAGACAGACGGACAGACCGAGCGCCTCAACCAAATTGTTGAGCAACTCCTCCGAGCAGCCTGCAAAGACGAGATCTCTAAAAGGGACTTGCACCTGACCGTACTAGAGTTTGCTTTCAACAATGCTACACATGCCGCTACTGGATAGTCGCCGTTCTTCCTCTGCTACGGACGCCACCCACTCACATCACAAAAACCGACAGCAGTAGCTACAGTCTAACCAGCACATGATTTCATCACAACCATGCATCAGCTTTGGGATCGGACCCACAAGTGCCTACTCGACATTCAACAGCAACATAAACGCCAGGCCGATCGCCATCGCAACAATCACACCATCACGGTGGGAGACCAGGTGCTTCTTGACACCCGCAACCTGGACATCAGCCATCTCCCATCTAAACTTCGACCTCGCTTCTGCGGACCTTTTCTCGTTGAAGCACAGGTCACGCCTTCCACGTCCAACTTCTGAAGCCCTATCGGGACCCGAACTCGATCTTCGTCGGACGCCAACTGCCGCCACCACCGCCCGTCCTCGTCCAGAATGAACCCGAGTACGAGGTCGAGTCCGTGCTCGCACACTGCCGTCGTCGGAATGGCACCGTGGAGCTTCTCATCCGTTGGAAGGGTTATGATCCTTCTGAGGATAGCTGGGTACCTGAGTCCGACATGGGTAACGCCCGTCGTCCTCTTCATGACTACCTTGTCAAGCAGGGTGTTACTTCTACCACCCAGCTTTGAGGGGGGGAAGTGTGAGAGTACGACCCCGTTACACCACTTGGCCTTTTCTTATTTCCTTCCTTTTTCATTTCTCTTTTATTCCATCTCGTTTGGTTTCCGCTTCTTCCTTTTCCATTAACCTTTGGTTTATCCTGCTATTATAATTATATCACCGACCAGGCTTGGGATGTACTGGTGCACTCTATCTAGAGTCATCCTGCTGTAATCCCTTAAAGCCAATAGCCTCGCGTGGCTATACGCAGGGTGATTCTATCTTCTAGAAGGGTCTATTCCCCTAGGATAAGATAAACCTGGTTACCTGATGTACTCTGGAAGTATAAAAGCGCCTTGTACTGATCGATAGTGCAATCTTTCCTCGACACATTCGATCATGTGACACCGGCACAGTGCTGCTAGTCTGAGCGATAGAGCGGTGACGGGCCTCTATAGCGGACAGGGTGTCGACAAAGTCAGTGAGGGTGAGGTCTGCAGGGTGGACGCTAAGGAAGTGGTCACGGGCAGTGGCAAGAGGGTCAGGAAGGCGGGTGGCTAGCAGGTAGAGAGTAGAGGTGAGGGGCGGCTGGTGGGCAAGAAGCTGTGTGGGAGTGCAGGCAGTACGCCAGGTCTCGTCTATAGTGCGCAGGTGGGCGGCCAGGTCGGCGACAGTGGGGAACGAGGCAAGGTCAGGGAAGAGCATAGGGAGGATCAGACGACCGACCGAGGCAGCAGGCGGGGTGGAATAGCGCTGGACAACAGCATCTAGGAAAGCCTGGGCAGTGGTGATAGACCTGAAGCGCAGTGGCTCGGATAGGGGGAGGGCATCGCTAATGGCAAGCTGTGCGACAGCGTCACGGGACAGCCAGACAGAGCGAGCAAGGGCAGCGGCCGCAGCGGACTCACACTCAGCGGACGAGGGATCAGTAGATAGTGCAGCGGGGGGGTCTGGGCAGGGGAGAGTACCGTCAAGATGGACACACAGAGAGTGGCCATCCTGCCGTTGACCAGTGAGGTGGCGACGGAGGTCGGCAAGCCACGCATCAAACTCAATCGGCTGGCCCTCAGCGTCAAAGTGAAGCACCTCCGCCATCAGTGACAATAAAGGGCAGTGGAGAGCAGTACAGTGCGATGCAGTGCGGCGCAGTGTGGTACAGTGCCGTGCAGTGCGGTGCGGTGCGATGCAGTGCGGTGCAGTGCGGTACAGTGCGGTGCAGTGCGGTGCAAGGCGGCCTAGTACGGTACCGGGGGGTTTCGCGAGGCAGTGCTGATCGGGAGGAACGGGCTGAACCCGAAGCGGTGGCGGGCTGGCGACGACGCGAAAGCAGGAGCCGGCCGGCGGACGGCAGACGCGAGGGGCCAGCAAACGGTGGCAACGAGGGCCGGCGAGGAGCTGGCGCGACGGCGAGTAGGGCCAGCCACGACGGCGAGAAGACACGGCCGCGACGGCGGCCAGGGACAGCCGCGTCGGCGGCTAGGGGCGGCCGCGACGGCAGGAGTTACTGTGAGGCGGCTGGAGACGGCAGCGACAGGAGCTAGGGGCGTCCGCGACGGCGAGGGGGGGGCCGGCTAGGGACGGGCGCGACGGCCAGGGGGCCGGCTAGGGGCGGACGCGACAGCCAGGGGGGAGGCTAGAGGCGGACGCGACGGTCAGGGGGCCGGCTAGGGACGAGCGCGACGGCCAGGGGGCCGGCTAGGGACGAGCGCGACGGCCAGGGGGCCGGCTAGGGGCGGACGCGACGGCCAGGGGGCCGGCTAGGGAAGGACGCGACGGCCAGGGGGCCGGCTAGGGATGGGCGCGATGGCCAGGGTGCCGGCTAGGGACGGGCGCGACGGCCTATGGGCCGGCTAGGGGTGGACGCGAAGGCCAGAGGGCCGGCTAGGGGCGGACGCAACGGCCAGGGGGCTGGCTAGGGGCGGACGCGACGGCCAGGGGGCCGGCTAGGGGCGGACGCGACGGCCAGGGGGCCGGCTAGGGGCGGACGCGACGGCCAGGGGGCCGGCTAGGGGCGGACGCGACGGCCAGGGGGCCGGCTATGGACGGACGCGACGGCCAGGGGGCCGGCTAGGGGCGGACGCGACGGCCAGGGGGCCGGCTAGGGACGAGCGCGACGTCCAGGAGGGCCGGCTAGGAGCGGGGCACGACTATGGCTAGGGCCTAGGGAGCGGAAGCGTGGGCAGGCTAGGAGGGGAACCTAACCAACTATGATACCATATCAGAAAGAATAATTGAACTAGAATGTGTGAGTACAAGGGTATATAGACTAGGGTGTTGTACATTCTAAGGCACAGTCCAGTATAGTCTACAGTAATGACCTTAGTCACATTTGACAGGACCTGGGTGTCAAACATAACTTGTAGGCAAAAGAGGGTGAGTAGAGCTTCGTCGCTGCCATTGCTGCATTGGCTCTCTCTACACTCTCACAATACACATTTTTAGAAAGTGTTACACACTTTAAAAAAATTACATATTGTGAAAGCTTGCTTAGGTCCTCTTGTAAAGGCAGCGTGCTTCATTTCGTCTGGGTCTTCTGAGACATGTGCAGAAGGGGTTGGCGGTGGCGTTCAATAGATAGCTGGTGCTGATTGGGCGTGGGAGCGGTGGCTGCGTCTTGGAGTTGCATGGAGGCTTGAAGGAGTTGGTCATGCGCGATGGTAACGTAGAGCTCCTTGGCATTATCGCTGCGCCAATGGCCAAGTCGCTTGAACAGCCGGTCGAATATCCCCAGGCTGGCTGCCGCTGTAGCAGCGCCATTGCGAAAGGAGTCGGTGCCGAGGTGGGCGCTATCGAGGCCGGCCCTGGTGAATGCTTCAAGGCACCAGTTCCGGATGGTGGTGTACGAAGGTGCGTGGTCCTGTGGAGTTGCCGTGCTGCTGTTCCCGAAGACTCGGATCAATGACCCGTGTGGGGTGGAGGTGTGACCCGCGAGGAGAAGAAAGTGTCGTGTGCAGCGTACCGGGCAGTATGGGCCGGAAGTGGCGGCGACCGGAATCCACGTGCCCCTGCTTTCCTGGTCGGTCTTGGAGTGCGGGATGAGCAGCCACATCGCCTCAGGCTCAAACTGTATGTCATGCCATTGGAGACTGGCAAGGTCGGAGTAGCGTAGGAAGGCGGCGAATATAAGGATGGGGATGAGTCCTTTTTGGTACTCGGCCGGCCGGGTGGACTCCAGAGAGGGGCGGGCCATGGTGTGCACTTGGTGCAGCGACAAAGGTTCCTTGTTCCGGGTGGGGCGCGGGCCATGGCGTTTGGCAAATTCGCGCTCTTGTAGTGTAAAGGGTCCAGTCGAGGGAGAGGGCTCGCCAGTCATGCGATGCGCGTAGGCGACGACGGAGTATTTAAGCGATATGGCAGATGTGGTGGCCTGGTGATTTAGTGCATGAATGAGGTAGAGTGCCAAGGTCATATCCGTTGCAGGCAAGTAGCTCAACTTCACCTTTATGCAGAAGGAGCGAATTTTGAGCCAGTAGGGCTCATACGTTCGGATGGTGGAAGGGGCACGGACATGGGTGATTACGTGTAGTAGTTGCGTTTGCAGCTTCGTTATAATGCCTAAAAAGGTACAGCGTAGAGTACAATAATTATTAATTTTTATACGTGACATGCAGTGCAATCATATGACTAGGAGGAAAGCCTTGTCCTGCGAAAGCGAGTGCGTGTGTGCCGGGGCGTAGGCATTGGCTGCCGTGGGTGAGGGGAATGTGTGCCGTTACTTCTGGCACCCAAGCGGCAGGTGCCTGTTGGAGGAGTGGCCACCATGATGCTCCCGGCCACTCGGGAAAGACCAAGGTCACCTCAGCGTGTGTGCGTTTAGCATGTCGTAATGTGGCTGGAATGAGGTTGGGAGGGGGAAACGCAAATCCGCGCTCGTGCTGCCAGCTGAACGAAAAAGCGTCAAACACTGCGGCCGTAGGGTGTGGATTCTTGGAGCAAAACCTCTCCAGCTGAGCGTTGTGCACATTTGCGAAGAGATCGATAGAGTGGGGACCCAGGCGGCGATCCAAGAGCCGGAACCACGGGGCTTTGAGGGAGTAGTCATCGTGGTCTTGGATTTTTGAAAGTTCGTCGGCGTGCGCATTTAGCTCTCGTGGGATCCATTCGACAGCTAGCCTTGTTTGGTGTTCCAGGCAGAGGCGAATGATTGCTTGACATAGTAGCGTAAGATGAATACCACGCCTTGATTGTCTACCCAAACGAGCACGTGGCGCTTGGGTATGCGGGCGGCGAAAGTTTGGAGAGCCCATAAAACTCCTTCGAGTTCCCGTCGAGTGCTGGAGGTGGGCAGTAGTTCCTCGGGCATGCAAGCACTGGCTTCAATGGGCGTCTCAGGAAGTTGTGTCAGGGTGGCGGCCCAGCTGTGTGCGCTTGCATCAACGTGGATGACGGCATCGCACTGGTGACTGAGATGGAATGGGTTTCCGTTGAACTTGTCGAACTGCGCAAGCCAAAAATGCA